TAAATTTTGTCCTCTTAAGTTTTCCCACAAAACTTATTCACAAAAATCTTAATTACGCTCCTCCAGGTCAGCCAGTCATTGTTTTACCCACGGAACCAAAGACTGTGGAGCTGTGAGGTGATGAGGGAGGGCTGTGAGGAGTGAGGGAGGGCTGTGAGGAGTGAGGGAGGGCTGTGAGGAGTGAGGGAGGGCTGTGAGGAGTGATGGAGGGCTGTGAGGAGTGATGGAGGGGAGGGCTGAGGTGGGAGTGAGGAGGGAGGGCTGTGAGGAGGAGAGGGCTGTGGAGGAGGGGAGGGGAGGGCTGTGAGGAGGAGGGAGGGCTGAGGAGGAGGGAGGGCTGTGGAGAGTGAGGGAGGGCAGGCAGGAGGGCAGGGAGGCTGGGGAGGGGCTGTGAGTGAGGGAGGGCTGTGGGAGGAGGAGGGAGGAGGGGAGGAGGAGGGGAGGGCTGTGAAAAGGATGGAAAGCTGTGAGGAGTGAGGGAGGGCTGTGATGCTGGGGAGGAGGAGGGAGGAGTGAGGGGAGGAGGGAGGGCTGGGAGGAGGAGGAGGCTGTGAGGAGGGAGGGAGGGCTGTGGGGAGGAGGAGAGGAGGGCTGGGAGGAGTGAGGGGAGGGGTGTGAGGAGGGCTGGGAGGAGGATGAAGGGCTGTGAGGAGGAGAGAGGGCTGGGGAGGAGGATGGAAAGTCAGGAGGAGGAGGGAGGAAGGGTGGTGAGGAGTGAGGGAGGGCTGTGAGGAGGAGGGCTGTGAGGAGGAGGAGGGCTGTGAGGAGGTGAGGAGAGAGCCTGAGGAGGAGGGGAGGGCTGTGAGGAGGGCTGTGAGAGTGATGAAGGGTTGGGAGGAGGAGAGAGGGCTGTGAGGAGGATGGAAAGTTGTGAGGAGTGAGGAGGGCTGTGAGGGAGTGAGGAGGCTGTGAGGAGGCTGTGAGGAGGTGATGGAGGGCTGCTGAGGAGGATGGAGGGCTGTGAGGAGGATGGAGGGCTGTGAGGAGTGAGGGAGGGCTGTGAGGAGTGATGGAGGGCTGTGAGGAGTGATGGAGGGCTGTGAAAAGTGATGGAGGGTTGTGAGGAGTGAGGAGGGCTGTGAGGAGTGACGCACAAGTGAAGGGGACTGTACATAACACTCCCTCTAATCTCTACCAAAACTATTTATTGTAGGCATATATCTACGAAAATTGGATGACCTGAGGATTAGACACCCCAGTTTTTTCACCTGAAGATTTGACTCCCCAGCTGATTTCACCTGATGGTTAGGTTAGGTTATTATTTGGGTAAAAAAAAATAGATTGAGTGTTTAATCTTCAGGTGATCCAACAGAGACAATTGTTTTCTTGTGCTGAAGGTCGAAGAAACACGTCTCATTACATTAGCTAAGACACAGGCGACCATTAGGGCTTTACTTTATTGTCTCTCTCTGTTCCAAGTTATCTTCTTTATCTCTCCCTAACAGCACGTTGTATCATGTTTATCTCTTCTTAAAAAAAATCATCTCTTTGCCACAATCTTCACAATTTTTCAAAAAAATATTAAAATTTCTATTACTTCCTACTACAGACATCAAGGTCTCTTTAAAACACGTATCTCACCAAACGTGGCCCTTATCTCCCTCCCTGAAATAACAGCAGCGTCTTGGCCCTGAAGGGAAGGAACAGAGTGGCAGTGTCTCCCTTGAGGTGATGGAGAAGGGAGGGGGGGGAAGGTGTGGGGTGGGGGGTGATGATAGTGTGGTGGGTTCTGGGAGGTGATGGAGAAGGGGGGAGGGAGGTGAGGGAGGTGATAGTGTGGTAGGTGGGGAGGTGATGGTGGTGGTGGGAGGTGGTGGGGGAGGAGAAGGTGATGTGGGGGAGGTGATGGTGGTAGGTGGGGGAGGTGATGGTGGTAGGTGGGGTAAGAGCCCCTGTGTCGTTGTCCCCTGCATCATTTACACGTCTTATCACTCATGTTCGATTGACGGCAGAGGCATTATAGTGCTGGGGTGTGAGGTGTGTGTCTTTGTTGTGTAGAGGTGTGTGTGTGTGTGTGTGTGTGTCCGCCATAAGTTTCTGTTCTGGGTATAAAATACGTTGGGTCGGATGGTGTGTGTGGGTGGTTGGCTCGGGTAACTTCGTTCAATACTCGCCCACACCAACTGAGCCCAAGTTTACGTATTAAATTTGTTTCATTACATTATCACTTTGTGTATTTATTAATGCTACAGTTGTCTCTCATGTTATATTGATTGTAGTATGTTTGTATATAAGTAAGGTAGTGGAACTAATGTCAGTCGGGTCATTTGGGTAAAGCTTACGTTTTGGTCAACACGGCTACGATACGTCAGTACTATGGCGGTAGAGAGGTGACGTGGGTGGGAGGCCGGTCCACTGTAGTCAGTTGTCTTAAGCTAAGTAGTATACCCTCTCTTTGGTGTTTTGGGAGTTGGCATTTGACAATTGAGATTTGATATTACTTGATATTGATTTCGTGTGATCTTGTTGGCCTTCAGTCCTTACTCAGCCACTTCCAAACATCTTATTATTATTGTTATTTATTTTATATTGTGTATATATGTGGTGGTGGGAATAAGTTATTAAATGTTCATATATTTATTGACTTGTTTAGGTCTTGACCTGTTAACTTGACCTTTATTGGGTGAACTTGGGATTAATAATATAGTAGGAAAGACTTCAGTGATTTGTGTCATGTAACGATCTACCCTAGGGTCGTAACTGTGTGTGTGTGTGTGTGTGTGTGTGTGTGTGTGTTATATCGACTATACCCAAAACAGAGGGATCATACACAAGACCGACCCATCACAACTAATACTTATATACGAACCGACAAACCTCATGTCTCCTGTAACAAATAACAAACAAAGACTAAGAGTGAGTGACCGTATTTGTGAAAGCTTTGGCGTGATGGCCAGCCGAAGAGGCCATGGTTCAACCACCAATGAAGAGAGTAGTATCGCAGCCATCATTACCAGTCTAACCAATGGGAAGCAATATGTCCCAACATTTCATCACAATAACTGAAAATCATCAAGCAGCTGACGTCATCAGCCCCACAGCCAATAGAAAGTGATTATTATTCATATGTCATCTCCATTCCAACCAATGGGAATCGATCATGCATCATCTTCATTCCAACCAATGGGAAGCTATACACACACAAGCGTTATGAGTATTTCAACCAATAGGGAGAGACCATTACGTACACGTCGTCGGAAGTAAAATTGTGAAAAATGAAAACTAATACTCAAGAACTGGAACGAAAATAAAAAAAAGTATTGTGATTTATTGCGTGATTCCCAATGGCTTAGTGTAAACCAGGGCTGCATCACCACAAGACGACTTACGGCGAGGACACAACACTCAACCAGGACTCCTCAACCCCACACACACATACCTGGACTAATCATTAAGGCACAGTGCTCATACAGAACTAACCATTACAAAAGAACAATACAACAAGATTCTATCCTATATATTTCCATCCTTTTAGACCGACAGAAACACCAAACACCCGGAGGTTGGGGTCCTGCCCCACCCCCTCTCCCCCACCCACTAACCCTTCATTACAATACCTAATTTATTTTACCAACCATTGTTTTAAGCAACGTGTTTACCAATGTTTATTAGCCCGGGATACATTTAATTGATTTATATTGTAATTGCGGATAATATATATATATATATATATATATATATATATATATATATATATATATATATATATATATATATATATATATATATATTTGTTTTAATTCATGAGTTTCAAAGGTACAATGAGTGTTCGAGCTAAAGGCCTATAATGTATATACTAATAATTGCCTTTATCTGAGTCTGTTGATTGGTGGTGTACACATAGTCAGAAAGGTTGTTTATAATTTTGTGTTGGACAATATGACACAGAGGAAGGATTTGGGCAGCCCTACAGGAGTGACAGTGTTTATTTCGAAAGTCCTCGGACACATTATTACAATTACTTTTTTGACTGTGTGTGTGTGTGTGTGTGTGTGTGTGTGTGTGTGTTAGAAACAAAGATGGGGCTGCTCTAGCCACGGTAAGAGTTGGACAAGTCCTCAACAGTGTTTCTCTAGCTCACCTTGGAATTAAAACCTGACTTTAATCCATCTAGGCTGACACTATGGTAACCCATCAGTCCTATCTTGTAATTGACAGCGTGGAGTATGAAAGAGCACACACACAAAGAAAATGGCGACTTCGTATGGCAATATAATATTGATTCTGTACAATGAAGAACCATTTACCCAACAATAATTACAGACAGTAAGCAAACAGACGTATATAATTATGTTCTACGATATGACTTATAATGACGAAAACAAACATTTACAACAAATGACCCGGATGGCTCCGTTTCTAAACGCATTAACGTTTTGTTTACAAAGGTAAATACATAATATTATACATGGACACATACTGAGTTTACCAAAGATAATGAGATTATCTTACCTGAGTCTCCTGTACATATCGGAGTAATATTCACTCACATGTCTGTAAGGATGAAGTGTTTCTTGTTAAGTAACACAACTTGACTTTATGATGTCTTCAGAGTAAGGAACAACTCAACTCACCCAGCTTAACCCAGAAGTCGCCTATCACTACTATGGACCGTCTTACGTCGATCCCCTGAACCCAAACACGGCCCTGACACACACTAACCTACAAAAACAACACGTTGACGCCATGACCTCATGCCCTGGTTCATACCTTCGTGCTCTTCCTCCTCCAGGTGACATAATTGTGCCCCGTTTTTTTTTCTTGACCTGCATTATCCCTGATATCCTGTCGCTCCGGATAATGACACGGAAGCAATCTACCATGACCCACGAGTGACCTCATTTGACCTGCATTTGACCTGCTTCATGATTCTTCTGCCCAAAAGTAACATTCCTTGACCTATATCTGTCTTTGAGGGCCTGTTTCTTACCTACTTCCTCCTCCTGCTCTTGGTCTAATATTGAAATAACCTGATCCATACATGACCTCACTTGACCTACCTTGTCCCTGATACCCTGCCTCATGCCCTCTCGCTCCTCCTCGAGCTTGCGGTGCTTCTCCTTGCGTCTGTCCTCGGCTTCCCTGATGGCTTCCAAACGCTCTCTCTCGGCTTCCTCCTCCTTCTCCTTGTCGCCTTCGTCTCCACCATCACCGCCACCAGGTAACTGGCCTGAGGGAGGAGAAGAGAAAAAATTGTTATTAACACTTGAAGAGGAGGACAGAAATGGAAGCAAGACAGACAGACAGACAGACAGACAGACAGACAGACAGACAGACTGGAGACAAGCGAGGGTTAGATGACAAGGGTGGGGAAGGAAGAAGGGAGAGAGGGATAGGTGATTGATGATGGCAAGCAGTGGATTAGCATATACGTACAGCTAGATCAGAGGAGGTGAGGTAGGAAAGAAGGATACTGAGAGAAAGAGAAGAAAATAAAATAAAAATAAAAGAAATAGAAACATAAATCACGTTAAATGTCAACAGTGTTTTTTTTATTAATTTACCAATGTATTTTTTTTACACATTTCATATTTTTTTTACACCTGTTATTTCGCTTTATTGTATTTTACATCCAATTGTTCCGAGTCTCGCGTAATATTCGTGTTGAATTTGTTCCTCTTCAGTAACAAATACAAATAAACAAACAATTCTGACATGTATCTGATATAGTCAACATCATCACCTATCATTACAATCCCAGGTAAAAGTTTGTGTAATTCGGATTATTTGTATGGTATGATTTAATGGTGCCACCGTGTTGCTTAATTAACTAACACCTGTATAGAGTAATTACTGTTGATAGGACATTGATGATCATTAGTGTTTATTATTGATTGTTGATGATGGCGAAGGAATAGAACAGCTGTCATGGTCCTTTGTTGTATGGTTGATATTACGGCGTTTGGCAATTTTTTTATATTTGGACTTTTGGTAACATACATACATACATACATACATACATACATACATACATACATACATACATACATACATCGCACATATACACGTACACATCACTACTTATATATTATGTAACTTCCTACCTGTTGTATTTTGTATATATAATCTCTGATAATTTAATTGTCTACATTCGTCTCCACTTTGTTCCATTAACTCCTACATCATTCCTAACATATAAATTAAAACTGTTATGTATCTATTTTCATAAGTTTTATATGATATCGAGTATGTACTGTATATTATATTTTGTCCATGTCTACTGTAAAACCGTTATAAAGTGTCTTGATATATTGTAGTAAATCAAGAGACAAGTTACGATCCTGCATCATTACGTTAAGAGATCAACTCACACACCAACACTCTCACAATCTTTCTTCTGACACCAAAATCGTACAACAGGAAGAGGAGAAACAATTCATCTGGTGTGAAATCAGTGAAGCAGCAACCTGAGAGTCGAGACGTGATCCACCATGCGGCTCCCTTGGTGGTATTCGATTAACTTGATTGCGTCCTGGGCGCTGCTCTTTTGTTTTAATACTCAATTCCCAAAATATATAGATGCGTCTATATTATGGACTTTATACACAAGGAGGCGCAAGTTGTTTATTCGTCTTTTATCGTCGATCTTGGCAGGTTTAAGAGTCGTTGAAATTTATATTAGAAGGTTTGGTAAAGGTTGAGAAATAATGCTGATAAAATGAAGAGAAAAGTGGAAATGGTGTAGCTGGTAATTAAGAGTGGGGAGGGCGCCACACTTCCTCAACTCGTTATCCTCACCCACAACTAAAGCTTCTTCCTCCCTCCACCTTTTTATTATCTATAATAACACTGCTTTATGAAATGTTTTCGATATATAAATTGTTTGATGATTACGTCACTGAACGAAACACCTGACCAAGGAGGCGATAACAGACCCCCACAGACTAAGAAGCGCTGTTCATTAATATTTATAATCTCAGCATTACTCAGGTTTTTGGTTAACCTTTTATTTTAATAGAGTAGAGTAGTAGTAAAGGCGATGTTTGAGTGTACATAATGTTTACAATAACCATCAATAATTACACATTAACAATCACCACAATCCTACAACATACATAAATGTTATATACTTACATTATGTTCCAAGCTAGAGTGACCCCAGCAGCTATCGACCACATACAGTACTGCTCCACCGACCAGTACCCCACCACCTCAACACCTTTGTGCCGTCTAGGAATGCTCTGCCCTTCTCCCTCAGGTTGTGTACTGTGCAAACTCCCTGGGGCTCCCCAACTGAAGCAGTATCGATCCCAATGAGATAAAACAGCACACCAGCACTAGACGGCAGGCAAGGTAAGTCAGTTCGGAGATTCATTCCTGCGACTTAATATCACCACGAGGGTCGAACTTTTGTTAGAGACTGTACTGTACCTCGTAAGCAGTTGGCAGGTCTGTGGAACCTTGTAAAGGGGTAGCCAGTTACACCAATGATTCGCATAATTACTTAGTTTCTCAGTTGATCATTCATTATTGGGTATATGAGTCCGTATTCCACAACTCGGATATTAAGTCCACTGTTTCGATCCATCATTCACTGAACAACTCGAAGCTTTTATTGAGTCAGGTGTACCAAGTGACCAATGTAGTCATGGATAAGCTTTCAATATAATCCGCCAGGTTTCAATATTCATCGACCAAAGCTGGGAAGATTCTTGTTTCTTAGACAGTACAGTACGGGTAGAGCCTATTAACACAGGGCGGACAGAATCACCGTCATCGAGCATAGTCAAGACCACCATAGCTTCACTGGAGGCATAAAAGACCTCGTAATTCTAGTCACTAAGACTCACACCCAGCAGTCAATGGCGACGTAACTTACGACAAATGAGAGAGATATTGTCATAATTCTTTTCACCAAACCAGCACCTGACAAGTTCCACGTCGCGCCGCAGAAGTGTTCAGTTCTACGGTGTGTTTGAGGAAGAAGCAGGAGGAGGGCAATTGAAACTCTCTCCGTATTAACACACTACATTACTGCTGTAGTTTGACCTGACAGGGAGGCAGTTAACTTAATTTGTTGAGGGATGAAACTATTACTATAGTTCCCCCTTGGCTTCCTCTGCTTCAGGAGAGCAATCCTTACCTAGAGGCGACTTTAGGTGTGTAAGTAGTAGTAGTAGTAGTAGTAGTAGTAGTAGTAGTGAAAAGAGAACTATCGATAGAAGCATTACACACATTTGGCTTGTCCCGTTACTTTTTATGAGTACTGCGCCAGATACTAATTGCCTTCGTACGTACCTCTGTCCTAATGTTTACATAAAAAGTAGAAAGATAAGTGTTCGTAATGTGATGAAAAGTTTTGAATGTTCGGCATAAATTTATCCTACTTTGTTTTAGTTTAAGAATGAGGTTAATTGACTTTTGAGGTCAGGTGTTATCAGGTCTATGATTCCATATAAGTGAAAGGTAATGTGATGCTTTTAAACCTCTGGACCTATCGTTAACCATTTGAGTCCTGGAGGGTTAAATCGTCATCCTCAAAGAGATAAAATATCGTCCTCTAAGGTATAAAACATAGTATTCAAAGGGTTAAAATATAGTCCTCAACGGGTTTAAACATCGTCTTCAACGGGTTAAAACATCGTCTTCAAGGGGTTAAGATATTTCAAAGGGTTTTGTGGACCAAGGTCATTCATGAATTGTTAAACCGTAATTTAATATCATTCTTTACCTCACCTTTATTAACTGGACACACTGTCATAAGCCCAGACTGAGGTCTTTATTTTGTGTGTTAGTTCCACTGTGAATATCAAAACCTGAGGTGAAGTTCCCCCTCGTTAGATTAAGTAACGTTCACTGTGGAAAAACCAGTTGATTGCTCTCCCCCCACAAGGGACTTTAAGCACTTATTTACCTGCATTGTGGCACCTGTGTTAGTGTGTGGAATATATATGTACACTTCATTCTATTAATATTTTGTAGGTATTTTTAAGCCAAGACATATTCTGTACTTAAGAAGATACCGTCATGAGTGTCAAGGAAAATCAATACTATTATCACTATGTCGCTAATATCACGTAACATTGATCAATAAAATGGTGGCAGACTTTCATTTTGTACCAAGTGTTGATAGAAACAGACCAACATAAATAGACAACTGTGTATTCTAGTCACGCGCCCGACGAGGAGGAAAAAAAAAAACACCACAAAAAATCGAGAATAGTGAACGTCTGGCTACCTGTACCCAGAATTCCAAAGAGAAATCACCCCCCCGGCCTCCACTGTATCACTTAAATGCTGGATGAAAGTTTCCTCCATATCTGCACACCTAACCTAACCAAACCTGCGCAGCTTTTCTCCCTTGAACCATACTTACAATCCTTCTCTCCCTTGAACCTTACCCGTACACCTTCTCTCCCTTGAAGCTTACCTGTACACCTTTCCCTTGAACTTTGTCTACGCAACTTCTCTCCCTTGAACCTTGCCTGCAAAACTTCTCTCCCTTGAACCTTACCTGCGCGCCTTTCTCCCTTGAAACTTACCTACGTACCTTCTCTCCCTTGACCCTTTACCTGTACACTGAGACCTTTCAAACTTTCCAATTTCGTCTCCATTGTTTATCAATTTTTCCCCATTTTCTTTTTAGTATTTCATGGGATCTAGCCAAAAACTATCCCTATCGCCCTCACTAGCTATTTTGTCTTATAGATCTAGCCAAAAAATATCCCTATCGCCCTTACCAGCTATTTTTTCTTCCAGTACGCCTGGTCACTGACAATTCAATCTGTCAAACTTTAATTGAACTTCTCACCTAGTCTTAAATATTCTTACGTGTTTTGCTTTTCTATTATTCTTTAAGTAAACTTGATATATAAAAAAAACTCAATGTTATATTCTTAATTTGAATATATCACTTGTATATACAATAGCAAGATGAACTAGTTAATTGTGATATGTAAAAAATCTGGGAATTCTTTGGTGATGATTTTGTATATGAATTAGTTCAACAAAGTCACCCTACAGTAACTTAACCTAAGCTAATTAACCTAACCTAACCAAACCTAATCCAACTTAACCAAACCAAATCTAATCTAACCTAACCTAACCAAACCTAGCCTAACCTACTTAACCTAACCTAACCTTCGACTATATCTCCCTCAACCTGCACCCTCCATAAACCTTCCTTCCCCGCCTCTAACATATAATACTCACCCTACCCTATATACTGTA